TGGCATTGATTGCACCGGTGTCCACTCGGCTACCCCTGGGGGACCCTTGGCAGGGGTTTAACCCTGCAGGTACCCTGTGGGGGGGTTGCACAGGGTTCGGAGCGATGCCAACGTCAGAGCCTGGACCTTGGTAACGTGTTGTCCTTTGGTGGGGTCCATGGTGTTTACCTTGTACATGCCCGACACCCTGTCCGGTGTTCTCGGTGATGCCCTGACAGGGTCGTGAAGTAAACAATGTGACCACCCGGACGTTGTCAATGTTCAAGGCCTTGTCGGGGTTTCCCCTCATGAACCTGATACACATCCTTTACCTTGTACGGGGTACCTTGTAAGGGTGGTAAAGTCCACAAGAAAACATGAACGACCTTGGTATGGTTAAGCGTTAGCACAGGGTTGAAGAAGGAGACCTTGGCGATAGGTCGGTCCCCTGTACTGTGTTGAGGGGCGTCACCCTGCCGTCATGTTCGGTCTTGGTAAGGTTAACGGTTATTAGGTTGTTAGTCTATGGCTGAAAACATGTTGCCTGGGCTACTGCTCAAGGCAAGCTTATAGCTCTCTTTTAACCGAGATGTGTAGTTACTCACCTTTCACCCACACGGATAATGCTCTTTACTCTCTGCGGGAGAGATGAATAGATCAATCATGTAGAACATGAGCACAATCAGTGCTATGCACATATACGACATACTTCAAGCGGGGAACATTATACTAGGTCCGTTCGAATCCCCGTGGTCACATATATATGTTAACCTGCGCCCTCCAGATACTTAATGGCGACCAAAGCGAAAAAAGTATCCAGCATCGAAAGCGAATAACCTCTGTTCGGATGTCTGGCCTGAAGGCTACCCGCCCCCCCGCCCCCTCTCCTCCCCCACATATACGATGTTGAGGGGCGCGCGCCCTTCCATTTACTGGATATATAGTAGAGGCCTTCCGAGAGGGGCGAGGAGGCAGCATATCACACAGACAGGCACATATTTATGCTGGCCCCTGACCAACGTAGATAGATATAGCTCAAGGTGATACCGAACGCGAGATGAGTCCTCACGCGCATGTGGGCTCAGTTATTTGGCACGCCTCAAGTTTGCGTCCCGATGTCCTCTTTGTACTCACATACACACAATGCGTGGGCTATACCATTAGGTTACCCCCTGGGGACACTTTGGCAGGGGGGGGGGCGGGGGCGAGGGTACAGGGCTCCTACCGATCACAAGGTCTGGGCCCGAAACTTGGTAAGGTGTTGTTGCGTCGGTGACGTCTAGGGCCTTCACCTTGTACATGCCCGACACCCTGTCCGGTATTCTCGGTGATGCCCTGACAGGGTCAAGTGCCGAACAAGGTGAACACGGGAACTCTGGCAAGGTGGTAGGCCTTGACGGGGTTTCCGCTCATGAATCTGCCACTACCCTATCATCCTTTACCGGGCATCTTGTGGGACCTTCCCAGGGTGACGGTTGATACAAGGTAACGTGTTCAGCCTTGGTAAGGTGACTGTATAGTACATGGTTGGAAATGGGGACATTGGGCTATGTATCCATCCTAACCCTGTACGGTGTTGAGGGGCGTCGTCCTGCCATTCAGTGTTGGGAACCCAATCAAGAAAGGATAGCATATGCGCCTTCCAAGAGGCGAAGATGCAGCACATCACACATTTAAAGCTATCTCCACTCACTTGGGTTGATTCATATAGACTTGATCTCTAATACATCGGAACCGCGAACTGTGTTTCTATCAGAACGAAGAAGTGCACAACAACAAGCTTTTCGAAAATATGAGCGTCGCGAGCCCTTTTCTACAAGACCTCGCGGTCGACACGCCGACGACGAACATTGCTCTGGCATCGACGAAATACCTTCGTTACATACGTCGAAATTCTTCGCGGCCTCGTGTGTGTTGTGTGCCGCCCACCGTCAAATGTATTCGCATGAAAAAAAAAAATGAGCACTTCCCCCTGGTCCTGATGCTGTAATGCGCATTTCTACTAGATTTTTCTACTAGATTCTCGTCCCACGCCCGTGACACCGAACCTTAGGTTCAGGAAACGACATGCATCCAGCACGTGCGAAGAGGGCTGGCTGGCGTTCGCCGGAGGTGTATATAGCACCGGTGGCGGGGACGGCGCAACCGGCGAGAAGCACACAGTGCGGGGGGAGTTTAACACAGAGGCAAGGGGGTGCGGCGGGGTTACCGAAGTGGACATGATGTCTTATTCGCGATGTTGTTCGACAAAGTTTTTGAATGGGGCACGCGTCGATACAAGCATAATGTAGTGGGGCGCCTACCGGGAGCTACTGTATGTACCTGTACAGCTCAAACTGACCGGAATAGAGGACAACGTGCCGTCGTCAGACGCAAATGTGGGTTATTGATAAATGTGTGGTCGATCTCACCTTGAGTCAGACGAACGAGTCTTGGAATATGCTGTGATGGTGCTCATTCAAAAGGTACTTGTCATACTCGGCCGAGCCCGGGTCAGACAACTTGTATGTGTGTTTCCACACTTGGCCACCACCTGCCGATGACGGGGCAATGCAGCATGTCCGCTTCGACGAGGTCCGCAGTACCTTGCCCTGCTCGTCGACATCTTCGCCCCGGGCGTTGACTGCTACAGGACACAAGTGGTAGAGGTGTACGTGTCGCCTGATAGCTGACACAGGCCAGACCGATGGACGCCCCCTTCCTCTTAGCAACATCGTTGGATGCTGTGTCACCCCGTCCGGTTGGCGTCTATTTCCAGGGCCAGCCGACACATACTCGAACCCTAAAACAAACTCCGTCGTCGGGCGGTTGCTTCCTTGGATGCGTTGGTTTCCAACATGTTGGAAGAAACAGACTATCTTGGTCATAGTAAGAGTGTCTACGCTGGGGTCGTCGTCGTACGGGGGCTTCCCCTTGTGGATCTCCACATCCTCGCCAGACCCCGCCCCGAAAACCCACTCGTCGGGTGGGTTGGATAAATATGCTGCTCGCGCGTTCCCTCCTTTCCAACGCCCGCTGCCGCTGCTGCTCTTCGCGGAGGCGGTGTGATTAAACCTAGAGCATGAGACTTTTTTGTTTTCCAGCGTTAGTGGGTTTGTCCAGCAGTAGGGACAGCGCACGTCCATGCAAGGCTCTGGTCCAGAACGCCGCCCGCATCCATAAACGTTTCGGTACGCCTTGACCACCTCTACCATGCTTGGACGAAAGCGTCCCGCTGAGACGACCTCCCGCCAAGACCCTGCGTTAGTGGTTGGTTGTCCCGCCTCATCGATAAGAGTTGCATCCCACAGTGCGGAACCCTGGTGGGAGCCTTCCAACTGCACTCGAGTTGGCTCCGATGCAGCCGAAATGTCGCTCGGGTCCCCTAGTCCTCCCGGAAGTCCTCCCGACAAGTCTTTCATCAGCTGCAGTACGACTCGGACACAGTCGACTCCGGGGCGAACGGTAACCTCCTCTCTAACTTTTGTCGAGCGGTTGTACTTCATCACAGAGTACGGTAAGCCGTTCGCCAGGGCATGCCACGCGCACATGGTATTCATGTGGCGCATATAGTGCGCTGGGACGTCTCTCCCGCTGCTGGATTTGTTCGCCCTCTTGTGTTTCTGGGGGGCGAATTCCCCGCTAGAGGCGTTGGGCATGTGTCCTGACGCGCCAGCAAAAGGAGGAGGAGGCCATTGGGTCTAGAAATTGAATGCAGTTGTTGACGCGGCCGGGTCAAACGTGCAAGAGGTGCGGAGTGTCATTTCGAGGGATGTTCGCATAGAATAGTTGCACATAGGCTAAGTTTTCGCCTCGCGGCAACAGAGAACATCCCACAAACTCACCGTGGTTCTTCACGGCTTCCGAATAGTGTAGGGTACTGTGCATTGAAGGCCTCACGCCGTCCTTCCCGATAACTTCCTTCGCCACATGCACCTATACATATGTATGCAAGTATTTTCCGTACAACACATCGAAATATGGGGGGGGGCGTCATGCTCAATATAAAGGTGCCACACTGTGCGCCATTCGATACAATGTGAAACCTCGAGGAGGGGGGTCTTCGAGTTGCGCATACTATTAAGTATGGGTGGGCACATTGGGCAGCAAAATAGTTTTTTTGGGATGTTTAAATTACGAAAAAATACAGTCATATTTCGACGAGGGCATGGTGGGACTTAACCCACTAATACGGACCATTTCCATGTTGGAACGTCGTCTTGTCTCACCATGTCTTGCGCATGCTTGTGGAGCTGTTGCAGTTCCTCGTCGTTGTGGGAGGGTGCTCGCACCGCAAACGACAAGGCAGATGCGGATTGCACGAGCTTGAGTAAAGCCTCCCACGCACCCGTCTGATTTCCCCAATTTGATTCCAGAGTCTTGACTAAGTCCTGCTTGAAGTATTTCACCTGTTGCGGACGGGCAGAGAGAGAGAGAGAGAGAGACACACACACAGAGAGACAGACAGAGAGAGAGAGGGAGAGCGAGTAGAGAAAGGGAGATGAGACTGATTTTGATCCATCTTTTTACGTGGAATACAAGAGCTTCCGCGGTGGCGTGGCAGACTTGTCTGTTTTTAAAGTATAGGCCGGGATTGCAATGTAAACGGGCGACCACATCGCACGGGTTTTGCCTTCATCATATAAGGTCTTCTGTACAGCTTTCATCATCTCAGGTGTTCTGCACACACGGCCAGTCTCTCACCATGGACCACGAGCTTTGAAGCACCTGTCGGAAGACGAGTAGCATGATGGAGGACAGCAGCCACTTATTACTGCCCGTCAAGGAAGAGTAGTTAGTGACGATGTCCTTCAGTGGCTTCTCGCGTGGTGGGTACAAAGCGTGGCCGTGCTCCCTGATGATGGCCGACACGAGTTTCCGGCCAACCAATCTCGTGAGGATGAAACTCTGAACGAGGGACTGGACGTTCTAGGGTGCGCAATTAGAGAAAACACACGGTAAAGAGAACAGAGGGTGCGCATATGTCAAAGAAATTATGTGACGAGAAATATTCTATAGGGATACGCACAGTGGGGCTTGCGTATAACCCATGAAGTACTGTGAATCTACCAGGTACTCTGTAGCCCCGCCATTCATAATCTAATACACTCGCCTAGTCTCCACGACAGTGCACGAACACGACCCCTGACGACTTTTTATGTCGCCGGCGACGCCGTATTATGCTATGGTAGGGGTTAGCCCGGTTGTATGGTATCGCCCGCGGGTACAACATTAAATACTCTACGTACAAATCGTTTCAATTTACCAGCGCATCCGCATGCAGGCTTTCGACTGGGGTTGCCTTGAGTGCATCGAGCTTGACGATGTCGTGTAACGGCCAGATTTCTTGTTCCGCTACTGGTGCCACGACGCCGAGTGTCCTTGAGAGGCTCGTTTGGGCCGTTGGCGTGGACGCCAACTCAGCCAGACGAAGTCTCCCCCTCAAAATCTGGCCTCTCGTTCTTCGATTTGATTGTATGTCATACTTAGCTGACCCCAAATCTCCGCGGTCGTCTCCGAATTGCTCCACAAGGCAGTAAGGGCACGGGTGCAGGGTGGAAGATGTGGGATGCTTGCAGTATAGAATGAGCGCTCGTTGGGGCGAGTCTGCCACAATCAGCAACATCCCGCCTCGGACAAACACCTGCTTAAGATAGACACACAGAGAACAGAGAGGATATAAATTTATCTATCTAGAATTCCGCCGTACTTTTACACAACGCCAAACACGTCAGCAGTAGGCCATCGATTGTGGTGCTCTAGTGGAAATTTGCATATATGAAGAGTAATACGATATACACGCACCTCCACTTCCTTCCACCTTCCATCCCGATCCTGTACGAAAGCTCTGGCGATGCACCCCTTTTCAAGCTCATGCAAAATCTTAAATTGCAGAAGCATCTCCCCCTCGCTCGACGCCCCTGGAGAAGCGACTGTGGCAACGTGTATCTCTTGCTTTTTCTCTGCAAAGCTAAGCTGTTCCACGCCCAGCTCAGGTACGACCCTCCCACCGATTTCTTGTTTCCGAGCCCATGTGCATTGAATCCGTCAATGTGGTAGTTGACTGGCACGCTCACGAACGGCCTGTTTGCGACGTTGTGAGAGTAATCGGATCCGCGGATGGCGAAAAGCGGTTCATCCAGAGTGCCCTCCAGCTTCCATGGCTCTGATCGTTTGTATTGCGGCGATGCCAATGATGCTGCGCCACCGGGTTCGTTTCGCTTCCGGTTTCCACCTCGATGCTTGTAGCGAATGACAAACGCTACACCAACAGCAGCCAGCGGTTGTATGTCGCCCACACGCTCCCCTTCTTTCCAGTCGGGGATTTTGCCTTGGCGATTTGTCACCTCGGCTTCCGGGTATATTTCGCACAAGTCCTGGATGTCGGTGGTCCCCACCTCCTCGGTAATGGACTTGTCTGTGTCTTGTGGGTCCCACACTCTCAGGAATTGCACGCCGTAGACTGTCAAAATCGCCCCACCACCGTCTTGCTCCCCCGCGACATCGATAGCAGGTATGAACGGGCGCACTGACGCTAACATTTTCCCCTTTTCAGCATCCCAAAAAATCCCCCAAGACTCGGCAAATCCTGTTTGTCGTTGTCACATTATTACCATCATCTTGAGGTTGATGGGCTGCGACAATTGCGACGTCGTTTACGTGAACTGTCCTCCCTCTCGATCTAGGCGGCCTAATACCGTCGTATCCATAGTGGGGGGTTGATCTAGCTAGGATGCCGTGCATGTTTGCACGTCTTCTGTTGCCCACAGGCCTCTCTGGGCCACAAAATATGTGCTCAGAAGCCAGCCCGGATTGGATCGCCTCGTTTCTAGAAAGTTGCTTTCCTCCCAGGTTTTTTAAAAACGTCTTCATCGACGAGGAAGCTTCCAGCTGCCGTTTGATTATCAAGTTCGCCGGGACATCGTGCACAACTGAAGTGCTATCGTTGCCCCCGGCAGCGATGGCGGTGGGTGAGCATCGCACGTCTCTCTTGTACACTTCATACAAGTTCATACAGTTGCGCATCCTAGCAACGAAGTGTTCGGCTTGTACGCCGTCTAGGTCGCTTATGTCAAACCCGCCCCCTGTTTTGGAGTCTTTGAACCGAAGCATAAACAAGAATCCGGCCAATGCCGCCCGTGACATCTGCTCCTTGGTGACTAACTCCATCAACAGCAAATGGGAGAGGGTCGGAAAGGGGTATGTCGTCGATTTCGCAGCCTTTGTGTTAAACCTAAGGTTTGGGGCCCCTCCTTCCATGAGGACTGCACCTTCCGCTTCACAAATGGGCTTGTGGACATTTCCTAGGCGCCGCATGTGACTGTCACCTTCAGGGACACCTTCAACGGAATCTTCACCGGCACCATCACGAATTTTAGTTTCTTCGATACCACCATCCCTAACATCCAATATAGAGTCCCTATCGTCGCCAAAATCATTACCGTCTAACAACATGTCAGCATTCGACCAGCCAATATCATCACCACTCCGGTCAGACCCTTCGCTGCTGCTGCAGGAGTAGTTTCTATCGCCTTCACCAAATTTGCAATTCATCAGAAGTCGTTCCTGCAAGCTGATTTCGTTGTCGTCCTTCGCACGACCCCGCATAGCAAAAGCAATGCTATCTGCGTTTCGGATAATTTCCGCCGAGTTGCTGGCGGACGACGCCGCGCTACTGCGTGCATCGGATGAAGCACCCGCCATACCTGTGGCGTGTGGGTGATATATCGCATTTGATGCTGAAATTACCGAACTTGAGGAAGCAGTATAGTAGACTAATAATACTTTAGACGCAAAATGCATCTATAAGTAACACCCGATAAGCTGACGTGACTGTGTGTACATATTGCAGAGTAATCAATTAGCCTCTGTTCCGAATGGTGAAAATAAACCTATATATCTACGGCACGCGTAGTGGCTAAGGCCGCGCGCACTAACCGTACAGAGTTTCCAGGAGACACCCAGCATATCCCCTGGACCGTTTAAGTATACTCCATTGCTCAACAACGAGGGTGATGTGCCTAAAGTTGTATTCACTAGAACAAAAGTATTTCGACGAAACAGTAGTTGAATGCCACCATTTTCGGCGCCGCCCCTCTCTGTGCAAAATGTATGTTGTGGACGAATAAAGCACGGAAAACTATCCCGGGTTAAAGTGGCATGATACATGTTGCAAGGACACGTACGATTCATCGATTAAGTGTTGCAGCGAGCCCCCATCATCCTGCATATATCACCATACCTTCAGCGGGTTCGTCAACATGACTTGGGGAAGCAGACGCTTTCGATTCCCAACCGGCACTACCACGGTCATGATGGTATGTCGGCGGTACTGCTGTACGACCCCCCGCCTCGTGACATCGGACATCGCCGGGGTGAAATCTAGCTTGGTGTTGACGTAACGCCCGCGTGTCACGCGCTTCCGTCCCGCAGAAACAGGCAAATCTTCCTTGTTTTTTATGAGACGTCGCCCGCTCCGCCTCGCGCCCGGCCATTACTTATGTATACATATGTCAACTATCTGTGTTTTGCCTGCTGCCTAGACCACGGTTTCACGCACATTGCACGGGCGCGGCGTAGGAAAAAATAAAGTCGCGACGAAACGAAAAAAAAATATCGCCTTTTTTTTTTTGAAACCTTCTAATGGTTGAAGCTGTCCCACGTCAGAAAGCCTCACTCCCCACCCACCACCCACACAGACGCGAGTCATGCAACGGTAGGGATAGCACATTACGGCCCAAAACCTTCGGTTATTCAGATGAATAACCAACCAATAACCTTCGAATATCAACTCCGATTTCAAATTTCAATGGCGTTTCATCTAGCCCATCGGATTACCTGTCACGTCATATTTTCATGTTGTGTCAATGTCCATTTCAGGCTGAGATATGGAGCTTCTCTCGTTTGAGACTCAGAAGGGATTCGTGCACCCCTACCGTTGCATGAGTCACGCGCGCCATGGCGTCAAGAGGGTCGGGCTCATCGACCCGTAGGGCTACCCCTAACGCCATAGAGGCGGGCTGGATCGCGAGGACAGGGGGGGGGGTAACCCGCTTCTCCCGCTCCAAGTCTAAGGGAAAGGGGAAGAAGCATGCTTCGCCACCGCCGCAGGCTCAAGTAAGTTCGCGCGATACCGATGGGACCTGTCATGGGGTTAGTGCAGCTGCTGTTGAGGAGGCTGAGCGATATCTTGGTCCATTGTCGGATTTGATGGATTCACCAGTGAGCGGTCACCACCGAGGCCGGCGCCTGCGCAAGCTCAGGTCCAAGATGGCCGTTGAAGACGAAGCACCCAACGTGCGTAAATGCGCGGCTACCTTTTTTTTTTTTTTAGTTTTCGTACCATCATTACATGGCCTTGTCAAATAGCTGGACCGTCCCTATGGTGTCATGTACCCGCACCGATAGGTACGGCTGTCCTTTCTTTTACAGTCGCGACCGCTCTTCCTTTTAGTCGTGAACTCCCTCTCTACGTGGCAGTTGAAAGGACGAAGTGTCGAGAGCAGGACGCACGTATGCATGATGGCCTGCACATAATTTCCAAACACCAACCATCTACAAGCACAGCATTTGGAACTTACATGCACCTGTGTCTGGTTCGCTCTTGCGCAAGAGCGAACAGCCAACAATTTCAGATTGCATTCCGGGTAACCCCGAATCTCGAGTCCTCTCAACGTCCTCCCGCCATAGCCGCATTATGACGCAATACGTTGTGCCCAGCCACATCGCAAAACTTGCTCTAATTTTTTTGTCTGACCCGCCCTTGTCGGGTTGCTGTGTCTTTGTCTGTCCCAGGCGGAGGATCCCAATGTCGATGATGATGTTGAGGCCGACCTGTCTTCCGTCAGGAACGTCTCCGCAGGCTCGGATCCGTCGGCCAGGGCGTCGAAGAGTGTTGTTTCCGGCGGTGGTGCTGGTCGGCAGTCGACGGGGGCTGCCCCGCAGGGTTCGTCTTCGCAGACGGTACCTGCCCCGTCCACACGTCGCCAGTCCGCGCCCCCCGTTACCGGTGCTGGTAGCGGGAGCGGCGGCGGCAGCAGCAGTGCCGCGCCCGCGGCATCCTCCGCCGCAACATCTTCGCAGATCACCTCACGCAGGACTTCTGGTACGTTTGGCGAGATCACACCCTCGCGCCCTGCTGCTGCCTCCGGCTTCGGTTCTGGTGCTGCCCCCGTCGCTGCTGATGCTGCCTCCGGCTCCGGTTCTTCTGATCGTGAGATCACGATAACGTCCGCCATGACCCCGGCTGAAGCCATGGCGCACGTTATGGTGGTTTTCGGCGGAGCTGCGGCAGGCCCAATCTTCATCTACATGCTTCAGAAGCATATGGAGGAACACGTGAGTAAAATAGGTCTTCCCTGAGAAAATAATCACTTTTTGTGGGACAGACATGTTTTCATTTTGGATGAACGAGTCATTTACAAACATTAATTTTGGACACTTAGCACGTGTTCAACAATTGGGTCTTTCCCATAAAGTGGACGACGATAGAAGAAGGGGTTAACGTTATGGGTCTAACTCGACGTCCGCCCTCTTGCGTAGACACACCACTCTCATAGTTCCCACTATATTTTCCATGACGTGGAGGCGTAGCCAGGACTCCTACATATACCTTGATGTGTATTGGAATCCTTCCAACCGTCACACACACATGGTCAATCGAGTACTTCCCATCATGCAGCAATTTCCAAGAGTTGCAGTTTTCATCCTTGACATGAGGACGCGGGTCTTGGTCATGAAATATTGCGGCGTGCCGCACTCAACCTGTCGTCTGTTTGATGTTGTTCGATTCCTACAAAATGTATTCGTCACAGACGGCAATTCACACTCTCCCTCCTGCCCCGCTTGATGTCCCGCCCGCCGTTGTTTTTCCCACTACATCCGTCGCAGGTAAAGCTGGTTTTCTCCCCACTTCTCGGCGGCAGCTCGTCGGTCGTTGCGGGTTCTCCGGGAAGTGCGACCTAGCCTGTCAGGCAGCCAGGAGGCTCAGTACGTGGCTTCACTGCTGCCATCTCCGTGGTGTGGAGTTTTGCACTCATCGGGCCCCAGCAGATGGACTACTGTACGGGGCATGGGCGGACGGACCCTGACACGAACGTATTCTGTAGGATGTCTTACATGTTCTGGGAGCCCACCGGTCTACGATACGAGCCCTTCATGAGTGAGTGTTGTGTTTGTTTTGGGTCATTCGAATAAGTTTTTGTGTGAACTGATTCACTCACAGGTAGAGCGATGCGTCAAAGTTGCCCTGACCGTAAGGTCTCTAGTCATCGCCATGGTCGTCGAATACAACGTTGTGCTTATGCTGCTGAAATATTAGAGTTTGGCACATACACCACACAGCCCCGGAGTTCACGCCAATTGTAGTTTTTCGTAAGAGTCGGTCAATCGGCCTCCGTCTTTCGCTTTAGTTTGCCCGCGGAAACATATCGATTCCCGTTATCGGTCGGTGTTGCAGGCCCTCCCTCTTACGATGTGGCCACTAGGCTACCCCTGGGGACACCTTAGCAGGGGGAGGGGGGTCAACACTGTAGGCACCCTGTGATAGGGGGGGGGGGGGGAGGGGCACCAGGGTTCATAGCGAAGGCAAGGTCCGGGCCTCGACCTTGTTAAGGTCTTGTGCCTTGGTGGGGTCTAAGGTCTCCACCTTGTACATGCTTAACACGCTGTCCGGTGTTGTTGGTGATGCCCTGACAGGGTAATGAAATTTAAGAGGTGAACATGTGGACACCTTACTGTTGCCTGACGTGTCCGTTCACTATCGTTTATTCGTTTTTGCACTGCTCCAAACACAGAGGCATTCCGGCCAGCGCTTCAGTCGGCCCGGGGTCAGTGGCACAAGGGGGTCAGGCTCGCCGTGGTGGAGTTCGTGCTCTCCCAGCTTCGGTTTGTCGCTAAAGAGCCGTCCAGTGTCGGCAAGGACTCCCATGGTCTTCTGAGGCTCGTCGCCCGCGCTCTGATGCAGGATGATCCCGAGGAGCTCGCAAAAAGCGAGGTTAGTATGTGGGTCGTGTGTCTTTCGTTGTGTTGAGGTTGACGACACACACTGCAATTTGCACTTTAGCCGCTATAGCGGCAGCAGTGTAAGTGACGGGATGATACCGACATTTCATGCCGTTCGTATATGTCCTTAATGCCTCCACCTACGATGTTTTGGAGTTTGGTGCCAATAGCTTCCTGTTGCAAAACCAAGCGGTTTATGGTTCCCGGACGCGAACGAGTAGTCGTATACGCAGGAAGGGGGTGCAATCACGAACGGATGGGCTGCCATCATCATATACATCATCCATGTAGTGGTCAATTAACTACACAAGAATGCCTCCATGAACCTACCCTTCGTCTTGTTTGTTTCCGCACACAGGAGATGACGGTGTGCATCGACTCCTTGATCGAGCTCCCTCTGGACGCCCACAGGTCGGGAGGCTGGGAATCCCTGGGCCCCTTTGACATCTGGGGGGGGAATGCGCCTCTGTTCATCGAGGATGTGAGAAAAATGAATGTGGCTGGCGTGGTCGCGCCCAATAATAATACGCCATTGACGTCACCGTTTTATTTTTTTTATACACACTCTGTCATGATTAAGTATTATGCAGAACAAAACTGTATAGCGTGATAATCACGAGTAGCAAGGTGTATGGAGGTAGGTAGGTAGGTAAAGAGTTTGATATTGTACATTGTGCTCCATGCGTTTCGGAAGCAAACTGCTGCTGTAGCCAAGGATCAAATTTTTCCGGTAGGTCGTCGGTCGATTTTTCTTCACAGTTCCAAGTCGAAGCGAGAGTGTTTGCCAGAATGTTGCCGGCCATGATTCCGAATTGTATAACGCCGTTACGTTCTCGTTTGTAAGTCGCTTTGAGGATGGCGGATGTGGGTGTTGGTGGAAGACACACCACCCGGCCGTGTGGTGTGTACAGCAGCTCTCTGCACAAAAAAACAATTATCAAAGTAGCTGCGGACAGGCGCGAACATTAAGAGTCGCGAGCCCAAATATTATTGAGAGCTAGCTCTGCGAGAAGCGCCCCGCGGCTGTGTTTGGCGTCGAGTACTAAAGATTCACGGGGTAACAACTACATACATACCTTGATATTTTACCAGCCCTCGTTACGCCTCTAATTCGTGCCTACGTCGGCTTATTTCTATTTGTACTGAACACCAGGTTGTCTTGCCCCTTCTGGAGCTTGCAATCCAACAAATGAAAGTGCTGCCGGATGACGGCGACTCCACGGACGCTTTTTCCAAGACCAGGTCGCGGGTAAACCGCTGGGCCATTTTGGAGAGGGGGGGATCTCCCAACCAGGTTTTTCAGAAGGAGTGAGTACGAGACATACCCTAAATATCCCTATGTACACACAACCTCATCATTTGGTACTCTGCAGCACGACAAGGGAAACATTTGGTCGGGCATTATTTTTGTTGTTCCATTTTTCGGATCTTACCAAGTCATATTACGCGACAGGCTAGTTATTTTCTGCGAGATGAATCGCTCCCCTGAGCGGCTTGTGTTATTTAATGCATGTAGACGACTACGCTACTCTCGCGAGATTTGTTCTAGGCTATACCACACACCCCGTAGGCGTATATACTGCAAAACACGCACACTACAACCAACCGTCTCTTCCGCCGTCCCCTCGCCTTTTAAACACGACAGGTTGTTCCGGAGCGCCTTCTTTTGGGCGACTGGGGATAACCAGACGCTCAAGCCCTGCCTGGGTCTAGACACGAAGTCACTGAAGCAGGCCGACCTCAAGCAGTACGCGTGTCCTTACCTGTCGAAGCGGAGTAAGTTTCCAGATGCCAATGTTGTCCTTGGTGTTCATCATGTATTGGCCTGGGAGCAACATAGTAGTCGCCTCTGTTCGCCGCCACATGCCTTCGTCCTATGTTTGCCATCCTTGCCCTTTCGAATTTTGTGTACACCCCGTGC